GTAAGAAGGCGAGCTGCGTACATCGGAGGAGGAGGTGGCGGATGACCAGGATGACGAACAATAGGAAGAGGAAGTTCGGAACGAGGAAGGCAAGGAGGAACAGCAACAAGAAGAGCCGGAGTGGGAGAAGCCGGATCAACAGGATGATCAGGTGAAGGCGAGAGAGAGGAAAGGAGCGGGACGACAACGACGAGGAGCCACTCGGATCCAGAACAGTGGCCCGTGCTGGGGCGAGAGAGCCAACCTGAACGATGGGAGCAAAGCGCTGATCCTAAAGTGAGGCCCTGGCCATTTGCAGGGGCGAGGCGAGGAGAGTAGTATTCGTAATGCACTGTTGAGGGTGGGATGAAAGGCAGGAACAAGGGATATAAAAACATGTGTGACACAAAATAATACATGTGACAAAAAAGTGTTTTACCGCACTTGTTCGGAGCACAATGTTTTATCACACTTGTTTTCATCACGCTTGTTCAACATCGAATCGGGGAATCGGATAGGATCGCAACGTGCATCGAACCGGACCGCATCGGCACAAAGTCGCGCCAGGGTGCACAACAACGCCGTGCACGCATCGGGCCGCATCGGATCGCCCGAAAATCGGGGTCGAATCGAACCGGGATGGCCGGAGCCGACATCGAATCGGAACGATCGGGTGCATCAATATCCACTGAGTCTTGGAGTCTCGGGTTCCCTTCCCCAGAGGAGCAAGAATTAGGCTCCTAGAGGCTAGAGTCGTATCCACATCCACGGCGTCTCGGCCTTTGACGCCCCCTCCCAAAAAGCCCAAGACGCAGAGCAAAGGATACCAATATATATATATATATATATATATATCCATATATATATATGTGTACATACATACATAGATGTAAAAAATAATACATCTGTATACGCAAAATCGTATGTATACCGATATATATATATATATATATGTGTATATATATATATATATAAAATAGAGAGAGAGATACTGCCCGCATAGAGAGAGAGGCGAAGAAAGTGGAGGAAGAGGTTGAGAGCAGCGACAGCAGCAGGCGGAACAGGAGCAGAACGCGACGAAAAAGGATGGTGAAGTTGACGAGTACGGGCCAGGAGGGGCGAAACAACAGCGGGAGAGTTGGGCGTTGCTCAGTTCGAGTAGGGAGTAGAGGACCGAGTATATCATTGATTTACTCCAGAATTCATGTGTATCCTCGAAACCAAACAATCGCATAATTTCCGTAGTTCAACGAAGATCAGCTCTGTAGCCGTTCCCCTACTCGATCCGCCCGGGCCGATGCATGGGGCAGCGACGAAACATGTGGGACGCACAGAGACACACTAGTACTATATGTTCTCATTGGAGGCGCGGGTCCGGCCCGAACATATAGTATACCCATCTTTTGGTATATCCCTTCCCGAGCGGTGTGGCCAGAAAGCGCCCACCACGACGCATATACTATAAGATTTCTCGGTGCGCGCGTCGCCCCTGGGGGGGCGACGCACATACAGTGTAAGCGCGTTAGGGCGACGCCGAATGCACACGTTGTGCCTGAAAGGTCCCCTTCAAAGGGCCCCCCCCCCTGGGGCCCAGAACGGGCGCGAACAAGGTGCACGCTCCTGCGCCCCCCCGTCTTGCTGTCGCCCCCCCTCCCAGCACGCAACGCCCGAGAGATAGACAAGCGCGCTCCACTTCTGGCCATCGCTCGGACGTCCATTCCCTGTGTTTTTTCGGTTTCGAGATTGGTGATTTCGCAGGATGATCCAGGATGCTCCTTAATAGTCCGCGCCGAGAAACAGTGCACACGTCCGAGCGATACCAAGCCTTCTCGCAACAGAACTACCCGCACATGGCCTGGGTCCGCCGATGGGGATCCGCGATCCGTCGCATCGGGGCAGACGTCTGTTTTTGTTCGGACGTTTGCGAGTAGGCAGTCTGCGAGCAGTGGAGCGCGTTCGGTGAAGGGAGGGGTCTCTGCAGGATGCCGGACGCGGCGCGACGAGGGCCAAAAGCAGAGACACGTGGATCATCCTGGAACCCTCGAGGACCCACGCTGAGGAAGACTTCTGTTTGTCCACTTAAGAAATGTATACGCTTCTCGAGTCGTGCGTGTCATCCGTGCGCAGGGGCCGTGCTCACTAATCTTCCCTGTATCTTCCTTACTTGGACGGATGATCCCCGAAGGGGATCCAACCCACAATGAGGAAGGAGAGTATGAGGAACTGGGGTGGACTCCTCGCTGTAGCGCACCCGTATGTTGTGGAGGAGGGCGGCTTCGTTGAAGTCTCCGAGCATCAGCAAATCCTTGCATGCAGCAGGGGAGGAGATCATGAATCAGCCTCAACCTCCTCCTCCTCCTCCGCACCTTCCTCCTACCTCCTCCTCCCTCCTCCCCCCTCCTCCTTCCTCCCCCTCCACCCTCCTCCCTCCTCATACCCCTCATCTCCTCCGTCTCCTTATCCCCCTCCACCCTCCTCACTTCCTCATCATGTCCTCCCCTTCCAGCCGTACTCTTCGTCTTCTCTCCATCCCATCGTCTTTCTCCTTCATCTCGCACCTGCCGAAACCTCGATTTAGACCCCCTGACTTCGGGGAACTCCTTGAGAGGGACCCATGAATCTTGACACCGAGCAGGCTTGGACAAAGCGGGGCGGGAAGCACCGGAACAACAAGAACCTGATTCGATGGCACGGCTTCTGGGAAAGATCTACGGCTGCCTCCTGTCTTCCAGACGCGAGCGTGGGCTTCTGACAGTGCTTAGATCGAATGGTAAGCGATGCGAGCTATCCGACAGCAACGATCTTAGGTGGCCAGGCATGTCCCACTAACCCCACACTTAGCATATCCCTCTAAGCCCACGAACTCGAAGCCACATGCATTCCAATCAAATCCACTGAGCAAGCCACTAAATCAAACTACATCCAATTGAGCCATCACTTGAACGAAAACCGTGGGTCGAACAGAAACTCCCATACTTGCCCACAGAGCATATCGCTCAATGTCGGTCGATTCAAGCCGCTGGTGGCCTGAAACCTGGAGTCCTCAGCCACCTGGCGCACCTGCACCTAGCGCCGCACAAGGGACATCATCTTCGCGGGGGCCCCCAATGGGGACAGAGGGCAATGAACAATACACCATCTCTGGGCCGCAAGAGGCCTCTCGGCTACGGTAGGTTCGTGCGGCGTCGGCGCGCGCAAAGGATTTTGACACCACGTCGATAATTCAGCCTGAAACCGGTCGCGGCCCCAATCGTTCAAGGTTGAATTCCGCCGGGTTCTGTGGCGCTAAAATGCCCCTAATAGCTTCCGCGTCGTTCTATCATGCGGAGTTCAACCTTGAACGCCCTCGCCGGCGTCGCCAGCGCACCAACGCCGCATGAACCTACTCTACACGCAAGAGTGGCCCTGAGCAAGGGTGACTGTTGTTGCGCGGCTTCGGAGGCGTTCGGGGGGGCGCCAAACCCAACCGCGCAAGCTGCTGTCGCCTCGCATTGAACGACTTGGGGGCCCGAACATTGGCGGCTTGCAAAGGAGGCAGGGGGAAGGGGGAAGGCTTCTTCAGAGGATGTTGATTCTTAGAAACCGCCGGACCTACAACCATAGATAAGGCCCGCACCTTCTAAGACGCAAGGGTGGTTCTAAGAAACCCGCCCCCCTCCCCCTCCCCCCTCTGCGCGTGGCTTAACACAGGCCCGCACCGAAGGTCAAACTGGTAAAGGTCGCTCTTACGTGTCGTCGAGCTTCTCCCCGGTCCAGCCTTCCAGCCCGAGCAATTCCTTTCAGACGGCCCCAGGGGATGGAGCCCTGGGAGCCGTGGGTAACGGCGCACAACCTCCAGAGCCCATGGCTCGAGGGCCCAACAGATAGATAACCCGAATTACATGTTCGGACGTCCGCGCGAACTTCTCGGATCGGCGCTGGAGCCCCATGGCGCGTTCCGTGCGCAAGGGAGGGGGGTCCAACGCTCACTGGCGATCTTGAAGAATCCCACACCCGACCTCAGGGGCAACGGTCGGGGGGACGAGCATATGGGGGAGCATCTGCCTGAAGTCGGCGATGCATCGCCAAGAGATCGGCGATAGGCCCCTGCAAGAAAATCCGCACGTTCCTGGGCGGGGGTAAGCGATCGGACCCGCGTCGGCGATAATGGGCGATTGAGAGTCGATGCCTCCCCCCCATGCCATCCCCCCTCGCATCTTGGGGAAACCAGAAAGTACCGATACCCGTATTCCGCGGACCTCTCCCGGGGCGCGCTCTGAGCAGGATTTCGAGGCGAACCCAGCGGTGGCGACGAAGCCCGCCCAGGAGGCCCAGGCAAAGGGAAAAAAGGAAGCAATGGTAGCGGTAGAAGTACTTTTTCCTTCTCCGAAGCCCCCGCCCGTCCTTGCCCCCGAGGCCCGAGCCTGGGAGGCGTTTTGGCCGGAGCCGCCGGGAGGAACAGCGAACCCCGGCGACGAGAGGCCTCTCCCGGGAAGGCTCAGGAGGATACAGCAGGGGCCCGACCACAAGAAACCTCCCACAAGAATCGGGGAGACGTAAGACCCGGGTACGGGGGACTCGGAAATCCCCGACGAGGTCGTCAAAAAAATGACGAGGCCGAGCCTGCATTTTGGCGAGGCCTCCCGCTGCAGACATCCCGCGAAACTCCTCCTCGTCAAAATCCGAGGCGCGGTCGTCAAAAAACGATGGCGAACCCGAGTCCCGGCAAACCCGGGTCTTACGCTCCCCCGAATCAGGACGCCCATTGGTTTTTGGTGTGGGAACGTCACGGTTTCCATCGCAAAACCATCGAAACCCAAGAAACCCAGGGCACCCTGGAGGCATGCAGGGTGGTTCTTGGCATGGGCCCCCACTGTAGGCTCAAAGGTCCCCGGCCGTCCGCGTTGCCCCTCGCCGACCTCTGCGCGCCACCTGTCTCCCCGCCGGGGGAACGCAAGGGGGGCGGCGGGGCTGAAACGCCGAGCGCGGGTGAGGACGCCAAACGATTCGGGGGAAAACCCCGGAGGGGAGGAGGCCCCATCCTGCGACGACGAGGCTGCGCGGGCCGTGCACTGCGGCGGCGGCCGGGGCAACGGAAGAGCGGAGGCGTGCACCTACCACCTTGCCGGCCCCGCCGCCCCCCCGGCCGAAAGCCCAGCGGGAAAGGGGGTGTAAAACGTGCTGCTGCCTGACCCAGCTGCATGCGAGGATCCAGCGCGAGCGCAGCGACAAACTCTGCTTCGAACCAGGTATAGCGCACAGCGCTTCGGCCGCCCGCGGCACGGATCCCCCTGCTGGCAGGACAGAAAGGAGGAGGAGGAGGAGGAGGAGGAGGAGGAGGAGGAGGAGGAGACGAGGAGGAGGAGGAAGGAGGGGTAGGAAAAAGGAGGAGGAGAAGTCCCGCTAATCTACGCGGGCAAAAAAGTGGGGACCATGTCGTGCTCCCAAAATTCAGCGCGGAGAACATGCCTTGAGGCGCTACACTCTCTAAGTAGTTACGGAGCGCTTGCTTTGAGGCCCCGCCTGGCACAGGCCCCATGCCCAGAATCTCCCGGCGCTCGGTCACTCAAACGCCATGATCGGGGCGCCCTGGCCCTCCCCCGCGGCCTCGCTCGCAGAGATGCCCCCATGCACGGAGAAAGCGCCATAGCGCATGAAGGCCACTGCGGCAGCTGCGAGCAGCGCCGCTCCCCCGATCGCTGCCAGGCCGCTCGCCGCAACGCTTGCGAGAGACCGTCGCCCTGCCAACGGCAGGCCGTCCATCACAGAGTAGAGCCTGTCGAGGTTCTCCGAATCATCCTTGAGGGCGCACTGCTCTTCGCCGCCATTGCAGGCCGGGCACTTCTCGTACAGCTCGCCGAGCACTTGCTCACAAAGCAGGTCCTTCACTTTTTCTGGGTCATTGGAGTCGGACTCGACGAGCTGACCCTCCTTCCCAGTTCGGGCATCCGCCAGAGACTGCACCCTCTCCGAGAACCACTGGCAGCACGAGTCCACACCTTCGCATGTCGTGGGCACCGGCTTATGGCATACGATCTCGCATGTGGCGCTGCCGTCGCTGTAGGAGAAAAGGATTCCGCACCCCTGACCCGCGGCGGCGGGGGCGGCTGACAAGAGGGCGGCGGCCGCGAGCACCAGGCAGGCCATCGGGATAGGGTTTCGCGCGGACTGAGGCTAGGAGGCCGCTGCTTGTGCAGGCTGCAGCGGGCTGAGCCAAATCGCCTTGAGCCAAAATGGCTACGGACGCAGCGCCGGGCCAATAAGGTTGCATCCAAAAGGGCTTTTTAGTTTGTTTCAGGGTTGTTTGCATGTTTGGTAGGTTGCTTCATGGTCCATTAGTTGTTGATAGTAATTCTGTCATTTCTGGCCTATGTTCCAAAATGTGTGCACGGTTCGTTTCTCGGGTTTTTTGATCGCAGTATTTTGACCATATGTCCCGTCGCGACCCTATCCGCGTCGAATCCGCGTCGAACCCGCGTTGGCCTTGCCAGATCCGTGTCTAATCCTCGTCGAGTCCGCGCCGAATCCACGCCAAATCCGCGTTCGAGTCCGCATCGAGCCCGCGTCGAGCACGAGGGAAGCTTGCGGACAGGCGAGGCCCCCCGAAGACGCAGCGCAAGGACAGGAAAGGAGCACCGGTGCGAGGCAAAAAATCATTCGGTGGCGCGCATAAAGGGGGAGCACCGCGAGGGGGTCGGCCCTGTGCCTGATGTACCATCTTGTCGGCCCTTGCGAATCGACGCTCGCCGACGCCACTCGGCACCAACCGAAAGAGTGCACACGTCCGAACGATACCAAGCTGATTCGTGCCCGCGATCAACGTTGCACGACGATCGCCCAAGTGGTTTGCCCCCGAGGGCACTGGTGCGAGGCGGGGGCCCAGGTGCGCGGAGCGCGCAAGGGGGGGAGCACCGCCTTCTCCAAGCAGAGGCGGGGGTGGCCTCGAAGGGGCAGCGGCCTCCTCCCTTGTTGGCCCAAGAGGGGGCCCAGCGACAAGGGGGCTAGTGCAATAGATCTGGTGCCATAGATTTGTGGGGCTGCGGTAGAAATTGGGCGCGCGGCACATTCTGGTGCGCAACTGTACTTCCTGCTGGACTTCCCGCGCGCAATGCGCCAGTTGCAATGCAACGTAGTACAGCTCCCTGGCGCAGGACATTTGCAATGCAGTGGCCCCAAATCTATGGCACCACCCCCTATTACCTGGACCCCCTTTTCAGGGGAAATCAACAAGTGCCGATACCTCTGCTCCCAGGGCCTCTCCCGGGGCGCGTTCTGACCAGGACTGCGAGGCGAATCCAGCGGTGGCGACGAGGGCCTCCCAGGAGGCCCGAAAAGGGGACAACGAGGCAAGGGTAGCGGTTATGGGCACCCTTTCCTCCTCCGATTTCTGGGCCACGAGGATTTTCTCGTCGGGAGCGGCCGAGAGGGGGGCGTCCAAGAGGGGGTGGTGCAAATCATGGCCGGCGGCATCTGCGCGGCCCAGGGGGGGGGCCACGGACGTATTGAAATACGAAGTGGCGCCATGAAATCTGGGGAAAATTCATGGCCCACGCCATGATATCCACCCCCCCCCCTAGTCATCAACCCCCTCTTTGCCGCCCCCGATCTTGGAGGCCCCTCTCGGCCTCTGGGGAGCGCCGCCCCGGCTGCGCCACCCCCCCTCGCGCCACGCCCTCGCGCTCGCGCCGCCAGTCTTAGGTTGGGCGTGTCAGTGTCCCCCTACCGGAGGATTTCGGGCGAAAAATGAAAACATCCAAACAAATATCCAGACATGATCAAAAAGATGTTCCAAAAATCGTCCCCAGACTCTTCTTTGACTATGTTTGAAGATTCCTCCTGTAGAGGGACGAGCCCGACTTAACGCCAGTCCGATCGGATGCCCCTGGACGGAAGCAGATGCCCCTGGGACCCGCCCGCCGAGGCGGTCAAGATGGGCATGCCCATCGGTCGGTCGGAAGAAGTTGGGAACATGAAGCACGACGGCGTTGCAAGTAGACTGGAGGTCCGTCAGCCCCTTGAATCAGGACGGAAGAGGGGAACCCACTCGATCATTGAAGCAGGAAGGCGCTCAAAGTAGATTGGAATATGGGACTCCAAAAATATACGTCCAACGACCGATGGGGTACAGGCAACCCGTATAGACAGCATGCGCGATAAGGATGCAAGTGGCTTGGAGGCCCACGCGAACGTTCTTCAAACGAGGTTGGCCAGTGGAAGTGTCCATGGATGGGCCGAGGAGGCACGGATGCAAGGGTACCCTTGGGAAGGTTGCCCATCCTTACTCCGCGGGCTGACTGTATCCCCACATCTACCGCCTGGAAGCCGATGTCCTGGGACCCTAAGAAGCGGCCAAGATGGGTACATGTGGGCCCACTGTGGTCCAATCATCCCTACTCACGGGCCCCCGATGTCCAAGAACATTGGGTTCCCAGGCGGTGGATACTGGGGGAAACCAACAAGCATCGATACCGCTACTCCCCAGACCTTTCCCAGGGTGCCTTCTGACCAGAATTTCGAGGCGAACCCAGCCGTGGCGACGAAGGCCTCCCAGGAAGCCAGACAGCTGGAAACGAGGCAGGTGCAGCGGTGTGGGTACCTCTCCTTCCTCTGAGGATCTGGATGCATCCGAGCCTCCGAGCGGGCGCGCACATTTTTTCGCCCCGCGAACCGAACGGCGCGAGGGATGGCTGGCCGCAGGCAGCCTCCTCCGCTTGCTATCTTCGCGCGCCAAGCAGGCGCCCGGAGGCGAGAGGGAGGGGGAGAGAGGATGAGGAGGACACCGACTAGAGTAAACCCAGGGGGCGATAAGGAAGACCTCCTTCCTGCCTCCTCCCATTCTCCATCCCTCTCTCCTCATCCCTCCCCCTCGCCCTCCCCCTCCCCCTCCCCCTCCCCCTCCTCCTCCTCCTCCTCCTCCTCCTCTCCTCCTCCTCCTCCTCTCTCCCTCCCTCCCTCCCTCCTACCTCCCTCCCTCCCTCCCTCCCTCCCTCCCTCCCTCCCTCCCTCCCTCCCTCCCCTCCCTCCCTCCCTCCCTTCCCTCCCTCCCTCCCTCCCTCCCCTCCCTCCCTCCCTCCCTCCCTCCCATCCCTCCCCCTCCTCCTCCTCCATCTCCTCCTCCTCGCCCTCCTCCTGCTCCTCCTCCTCGTCCCCCTCTCTCCTCCGCCCCCTCCTCCCTCCCCCGCCTTCTCCCAGCGCTCACGGGCGATATCTTCCCAACACGACCACCGAGGCCCCCAAGGTTGCCCCAAGATGACCCACGAGGACCAGACTGCGTGGTCGACCATGGACCCCTTGTGAACCCCTCGCTCGACGGTCTTCGGCAGTCTTCGGACGGTCTCCGGCGGTCTTCGGCTGTCATCTGGCGGTCTCCGGCGGCCTTTGATGGTTTCCAATGGTCTTCGGCGCGGAAGTGGGATGGCGTCAAAAGGGTGTCCATGATGGATTGCCCAAGGACGAGGAGTAAACCCAAGAAGTCCGAGAAAGGAGCTCCTCCCAAAGCCCGAGAAAGGAGTTCGTCCCCAGAAGTTCTCGCCCCAGGAGTTCCCAAAGACCGCAGCAAATCCGCCGGGATGGCCTCCCTGGAAGTCCCTGCAGGCCCTCCTTCCCACTGCAGAAGCGCCCCGCGCCCCCTCGGCGGGCCAGCACCCTCTGCGTCTGCCATTCTGGCCCGAGCACCGTTTCGAACAGGAACGGCCTCGCATCAGGCTGACGAATCCGCCGACCCCTGAGGCGTGTGCGCTTCGACTGCGAGACTTCTGACAGCGTCACCACCCGGGCCCGGCACTCCCGCCTTCTGGGCACCGGATCTCAGGGCCCCCCCACTGGACAAGTCTGGGCCCAGAATCTGCCCTGACGAATGGCATGGTGTGCGAACAAGTCTGATCATACACTTGATCCAAGTGTCCAGCGAGACCCCCCCGTATTGAAAACAGGCGCCCCTTCCTCTCTGTAGCTGTTCCACAATTTGTTCGTCTAGCCATGAACTTTGAGAAAGACTCAAACGATAGCCTAATTTTTGAACATGAGCCGCCATCCATCCCAGCGCCTGTTACGCCTACTCGAATCCCTAGTGTGTCCATTATGACCGGACTCTCGGGCGATAGTCTGGCTTTGTCCACCATCCGTGTGGGCCTTGCAAACTGAGCACGCACATGTTCGGACCCAGGGCGAGGGGCTGTTTGGAGCAAGGAGCCTCCCGACCTCTTACGACTGTTGCAAGCTTGTAATACGTGTGGGCGCACGGCGAGAGGGCCCCATGCTGGAGGCCACACCCCATCAAGCCTCGTGTTGTAAACATATACAACGAGTGCGCACGACGCTTAAACGAGAACTGAAAATGTGACCCCCTTCTGCCCACCCGTGTAACGGTTGTCAACTTTCCAAGGTCCGATCGGTCAAGAGGTATCTGGCGACACGCTCGTTCTGCACAACAGGGATGAGTTATCTATGAGGGAGAAGGATGTAGGAGAGGAGGAAGAGGAGCAGAGAAGGAAGATACTTAGAGAAGGGGATGGGGGGGGGGGCGAGGAGGAGGAAGAGGAGGAACAAGGGAGGGGACGACGAGGAGCAGGGGGGAGGGAGGACGAGGAGGGGTGGGGCGAGGAAACAGAGAACGAGGAGGAGGAGGAGGAGGAGGTGGACGAGGAGAGAGGAGAAGGAAACGGAACGAATGGGAGGACGAGGAGGAGGACGAGGAGGAGGAGACAGGAGGAGGCGAAAGAGGAAGGAAGAGAGAGAGAGAGAGAGAGAGACAGAAAGAGAGACAGATATGGGCTTCATCCATCTTGCCTCCTCCACTTCTCCCTCCTCCCATCCTCGTCCCTCCTCCTCCTCCTCCTCCTCTCCTCCTCCTCCTTCTCCTCCTCGTCCTCCTCCTCCTCCTCCTCCTCCTCTCGTCTTCCTCGTCCGTTTTCCTCCTCGTCCCTCCTCCTCCTCCGTCCCTCCTCGTCCCTCCTCCTCCTCGTCCCCCCGCTCTCATCTTCCTCGTCCCTCCTGATCAGCGTCCCTCATCGTCCTTGAAGTGCAGGTGGGTGGGTGGGTCGGGTGGGCCGCGGCAGGGTCGCGGCGCGGGGGGGGCGACGACAGCAGCCAACAACAGCAATCAACAAAACACCGTTTGTTTGTTGCTGCTGGCGTGTCGGTCATCCGGCATCATACGAGACTTCGATGCCCGTCCTCTTCTTCATCTCCGACCGCTCCCCCCTTCGGTCTGTCTTCGTTGCCGGCCACGCGTAGGTTG